GATATATATATAGAGATATATATATAGATATATAGATAGAGAGATATATATATATAGAGATAGAGAGATATATAGATATATAGATATATAGATATATAATCTTATGAAAGTGAATATTTACAATTCATTTACAGCTGTAGACATTTTGGCGGTCACACCTGGGATCAAGAAAACAAGTGACCTATGCCGATACCCCCGTGCCCTTTAAACTACCATAAATTTACTATACATAGTATAAAAGTAGTTGGTGAGATTTTCAAGAGCACATGAGCTTCTCTTTAGTTAGACACTCTTGTAGCAGTGAAGCATTGGAGGCCCGCCTGAGCTCTTGTTCTGTGGTCAATGCAACAGTAGTACCAAAGCATGTAACAGGTGCAGAAGTAAAATGCCTGCCAAATGGGGTAGAGGCATTCCCTTGTACTGTGAGAGGGTTACTATTAGTATGCTTTACACCCACAGTTGTGCTTTACCAAAACCTATCTTGCTGAGTGTTGGCCTTGTAAAACCCTCATGCAAATGGTTCATCTACATAAGCAATGTTTTCCTGCATTTGATGTGCAATTGAAACATATCTAATGCAGGTCAGCGAATTGCCAATGGACTTTAATGGAGCAGTACACATGACAGTTAAGAGGCAGCATTTGACCTGCTTTGCATTGTACTGCATTTATTTAGCTGTACCTTTCAGAGTGTTTCAACTGCAAGCAAAGCCTGTCCAATGCAACCATTTCTTAATTGCTACTTTTTCCATTTAAATGCAGGCAGCAGTGTTTGAATGGAAATGGCTGTTTTTAACTCGATTGCCTGCACCATAAGCCCAAACACTAATTCTGGCAATAGAGCTGAAAGTTTTCAACTAGTGTGAAAAATTTTACAATTACTTTTATTGAACAAAAATTTTTTATAAAAAGAAACTTTGCATTTATAACGCATGTAAAAAAAATGAAAATGTTTATGCCATTGTTTTATTTTCCACTTTAGGTATAGAAGTTTAAAGCACTTTAACTATGACATCTGCCAAAGCTGCTTCTTTTCTGGCCGTGTTGCAAAAGGTCACAAAATGCACTATCCGATGGTGGAATACTGCACTCCCGTAAGTTTACATAACATTCCAAATCATAAAAATTATTCTGAAACAATGGATAAACTTATATTGTCAAATTTTGTATCCATATTGTGTCGATTCATACCTTGGTGAATGTCCTTACGAACTATAACTTCATAAAGCATATAATTTTTATATTTTGTCTAACAAAACTTCAAAATGGAATGCTGTTTTTCATCAAAGCTTAGGGAGGGTTAGTGTGAAGGGGTGTTCTAAATGAATAACGGAAGCCAATGTATTGACCATCTTGCATTGGATAATGGCCTGTTGTTTAAAACCTTCATATAATGCTATTTGGATCTTTTTCAAAGAAAAAGGTGATTCTACTAACATTCACATTCATATATCATAATTAAGTACAGGTTTTGAGCAGTTTCCAACTTCACTTCCATGCAGTTGTCATATGCCGTCTCTATAGATCGAGAACTGATTGATTACAAACCCGTGATCGCTCAACTCACTGTCTTCTCCCTGCAGAGAGTAGTTACACAGTGATTCCCCCCTACCCTCTTTGTTCCTTGGAAGGGCAGACAGGGGAGGAGGCGGGCACATCTGGCTCTAGAGCGCATACCACATTGTTATACCAGCCAAGTAAAGCTGTCCATACACCAGTAAAAAAAAAAAAAAAGATTGATTTAATTATGTTCATTCGATTTCCCAATAGTTAATGGGGTTGAATCGATAACTATTTTTGACTATTGTGATGGAAAAAATTGAAGGAGCAGGATGGAAACTTATTTTCAAACAAAATGTTAATGTTTTTGGTCATAAAACGCTATTCATTACAAAATCTGTTTAAAATGAAACTAAATTTGTCAAGTCTCTGATTTCTCATTATCGAATGCTCTGACGAGAATTTTTGCATGAATGCTTATGTGAAAATCTGCCAGTGCATGGCCAGCTTAAGGCAGAACAACACTACTAGCAGCATTGTGTTCAAGGATGGGCATGGCTGGTTATTTGTATGACCTATTTCAATCCTTAACTGGCCTTAGTGCTTTTCCCAACACCAGATGTCCCCAACCAGTAACTTATTAGCTATGAGTGATTTTTAATAAGGTTGACAGTAGCAGTCTCTAAACTGGGGCTCTGCACCTACTTGTCTGTGTACCTGCTGTGCTATAAAATTCTCATAAGCATTAAACTAAAAAGAGTATGCCACTCATGCAATTTATATTTTTTAACAGAAGCAAATTAAAAGCCGGCTTTTACAACTGTGTTTATTTTAAGTTGCTGAGGGTTGATTTATGCTTGGGTGCAATATCTGCACAGTCTTTCTTGTGTATTATTCTTAAAAAAAAAAAATCATCAGTGTGGTCCGCATTACTTGTTTATTGGCTCACAAAATGGTTGCGGACTTGTACTTTTTACCACTTAGCATTACAATTCTTGAATTCTTTCCAAATACACTTGAAATCCTGTACTGTATTTTTCAGTCCTTTATATTAAATTATAGTTTGTTTGCCTATAGGAGCCTGTGCAGCTATTAACATGAATGCACCCTTCTTAGCTGGATCTGACATGAATAGCTAAAGAAAAAAGCTCTTTGTTTTGGTTGATTCTTTTGGCTTCCATAAACCTCAGTCCGTGACTGAGTTTAGCTTTGAACTTAAAATCAAAACATAATGAACTAAGAAATGCTAAATCTCATTGTTGTAAGTTACTAAATAAAAGCAGGTGCCAAACATTTTCCTGTAAAACATTTAATAACTGAATGCCGATTCTCTCAAGGAAAATGCTGAGCTGAATGTAAAATCCAGCAATGGATTTATTTTTATTTTTGACCCAGTTACTTCACAGATACGGTTTCCTTCTCACAGCAAAACAATGCCTTTCACTTTACTTTTTAATTCATGGCATCAAGTCTCATATTCACAAAGAAATGTATTTGTCTGCTTTTAGACTACATCTGGAGAAGATGTACGTGACTTTGCAAAGGTTTTGAAGAATAAATTCAGAACAAAAAGATACTTTGCCAAGCACCCAAGGATGGGTTATCTGCCTGTTCAGACTGTCTTAGAAGGAGACAACATGGAGACGTGAGTACACTCTACTGGCCTGCAAACACCCTTGCCACTTCCTTCTTCCCATTTGTATTTATTTTTTAAGTTAATACATGTCATCTTTTGGGGAATTTATTTTGGCTGTAGTAAACACAAGCTGATGTGTTTTAGAAAGAGGTATGGATTAGGGTTGCAACAATACAGTTTTTTCGATATTGAGTACCAATGTCCTATATTTTGGTACTCGCCGATACCGGTACTTCCGCTGGCATGGAGACGGCTTCCCGGCCAATCAGGAAACCAGGAGCTAGGTCGATACCGGTTACCTGGTTTCCTGATTGGCCAGAAGGCCGCCCCCATGCTGTTTGGCCAGGAAGCCACATTCCTGGCCAATCAGGAAGCTGGCTCCATGTTCCCTCGCGGCACTGCCAGTCATGGGAAATCTCCCTCTGACCGGAGGTTCCGATGTTGGAGCATTTGAGCGAGTACTCGCCCAAATACTCGGTATCGGTGCATCCCTAGTATGGATGATGGCTCACCACTGCCTCATGGGATAGCTGGGTGCTCAAAATCCTGCAAGAATGCACCCCAGTTCATTACAGGAGTGCATTCTTGCAGGATTTTAAGTCGCAAAAAAACTGGACTTGTTTTGTATTTAAAAACAAGTCTGGTTAAATGTGATGAGCTACAGCTAGCTTTTGTAATGCAGTAGGCGAACTTGTGCAATTTAAAATGCAGTATCTCAAGTTCTAAAAACTTTTAAAGTGAATCTATAAGGATAGAAATAGGAGAGCTATCATATCTGTCTTATTTTTGAAGGGGCATGTTTTGTGACTGTCATATTATAAATAGTCTTCACTATTTATTGAGTCACTGGCCCAAAAGAGTTGTGCACATATAAGGTGTCTAATTTGATTGGTGTCTGTTCCAAAATGTAAAGGAAGAGTGAAGATGACAGATCTGGAACATGCACCTCCAAAACATGTCAGATATGACATCGCTTATATATCCTGACACATTGTTAAATAAAAACATGTATATGTAGGACTGATATCTGTACTTATTATGTAACTTGTGTTTTAGTGGTCCTTCTAACAAACCAAAACTTTGTTTTATTTTTCCTTCAGAGATTTTCTGCTATAATTTATAAATGTTTACTTTATCATTTAAAAAAATAATTATAAGCTATTACAGCTGACAACAGATTGCTAACACTATCCAATATATCAACAAAATCCCTGTATATTTACTTATTGAATGTTGTTGTTGTATTAATTGGTATTGGCAATGTGTTATCAACCCTAATAGATTGTAATCTTTTTGTAGCTCTCTTTTTCATGAATTTTTTATAGCTTGGGATTCTATTTTATTTAGTAGGTTGTGGAGGCCTAATACACACACATATGTATGTATGTATGTAAATTAGACATGTGCACTGCCAAAAAATTTTTCGTTTTAAATTCGGATTTGTGTTATTTCGTTTTTCGGGATTCGGGTGCGAAAGTCAATTCGGATTCGGGATTCGGATTCGGAAGAAATTCGGTAGCGTTAGTACAAACGTTCGCTTCGTTTTCTGTTCTTATTCGTTTCTTATTCGTTTCTTATTCGTTTCGTTCGTTTGCAGCAAAAGTGACATTTGAGGGGGAAAAAATATTTTTCTCCTTCTCTAATGTCACTTTGCTCCAACGAACGAAACGAATAAGAAACGAATAAGAACAGAAAACGAAACGAACGTTCGTGCGAACGCTAACGAATTTCGGAAATGGAAATTCGGATTCGTTTGCATTCGTTATGTCTGTAATTCGGAATTCGGATACATCCGAATGTCCGAATTTACAAACATTCGTCCGAATTATAACAATAAACAACTCTTTTTAAGAACATCCTCTGCAGCACTGCACAGATATGGAATATATAGGTGGTAAAACTAGTATATTGAAATCCTGGGAATGACAAACATGTCAAACAAAAAAAAAAGACAGTCTAAAAGAGAGGTACATATTTTTTACTACTGTTTATATAGTACCAATATAGTCTACAGCACTGTACATACCGTACATACATTTACATTAATCCCTGTTCCCCAGAGATGTTAAAAATGTAATGTCCATACCACACATATGCACACTTTTGGGCAATTTGGGAGGAAGAGAAGCAGACCATTTTATTTTTAATTGTGGAAGCAAAGTTGACACACAAACAGAGAGAACATCAAACTTCAAGAAGGTAGTGTACCAATAGCTGTCGGTAACAGTGACGTTATCTGTCTGAACCAGGGAAAATCAGGTGGTATTGTGAATCAAGGGTTTCTGCATTTATGCAAAGAAAAGGATTTTCAGGGGAAGGTTGGTGAAGAGAGAAAGGAAGCAACATAAAAGTCCTAGATGTAATGGAAATATGAATACAAGTTAATCATATGTAGTTTAACATGTCTACCTAAAGAAAAAACGCTTAAAATAAAAAATATTGTTAGTCCTGATCGTAATAAGACATTTTATACAAAACACTCTAAACCACCCTTTAAGTTTGCATTATTTACTAGTACTTGCAGCCATGTTTGTCTAAAATGGGTTGCGTACTGATTGCGTACGATATTTTATAGTTTCAACAGTTTAGGACAACCTGATTATTCTATTTCTGCAGAACATAACGGACATCCTATTCTCTGCTGGTTTACATATAGTGTCATTAATTCTGAATATTGCAGCCTATCTCGGAGGAGTTATTGTTAGCACAGTCCAACAGGAGGCTATTATGAAAAATGGCCTTACAATTTTTGTTCATTTTCTTACACCTTTTATTTTATTTATTTATTTAGTCATTTTGCCAAATTGAAAGTGTCTGCAGAATACATTGGAGCTACAATAATGGAGTATCAAATTGAACAGTATACATATTTGCTAAAGCTTTATTCATTTAACAAGACAATTGTAAGCTTCAACCTTCTGTATTAAGTTTCATTATTGAAAGGTAGGGTTTAAAGACTTTGACAAATTGAATGTGTATACGATCTTCAAAGACAAGTAGAAAGCAAAAGAATTTCAGAAAAATGATTGATTCCAGATGTACAGTCTATTATCTGAGCCCATTTATCCATGGTGTTGTTACCAATCACACGACAGGTGCAGATCAGAGTGTGTTAATTTCCCCATCTGCCAGAAGCACAACATTTTACATTAATAGTTTAGGAAACTTCCTGTTGGTAGCAGATTGCCAGGCTGATGTAGACACATCTGTCCTCTTGTTATCTTGGAGCCTAAATTTATGTACATAGTAATACAATTGAGTAGCCATATATTTAACTGCCTGCAAGGTTTTGTAATGGTATAATATAAGAATCTTCAAAAAACACAATAAAGTGAACCTGTCACTGTATACTAAATGGTAATCCTGGTACTCAGCGGACAGTACTTTCAGACTAATCTAAGCTCCCTGAAGCTATGCTGATTGGAACCCTTCTTTTTATTTAATGGGAAAACACATGTAGGTTGAGGTACAGATGAGGTAGAGGCTGATTTACTAAGGGATTTAAAAGATTTTCACACAAATAAAATGTGTGAAGATTCACTTCCACTTATCCAATCATGGGAAAAGAAAATGCATGTTTACTTTCTTCATCTGCACATGATTGGATGATTGAACTGAATCTACACACTTTTTATTCTGTGAAGATTCTCAAATCCTTTAGTAAATAAACCTCTACCTCAATCATGTGTACCACAACCCATTTATGTTTTCATGTTCGATTAAAAGAAGGGTACTGTGTTCCAATGAGCATAGTAAACCAGTCCCATTGTGCTGTGACAATGCCATAAGATCACCAGTTAGGATCCTGACACATCACAATCATTTCTAGCATAATATGTTTGATTACAAAAGTGTGGTTTGTTTTATCAGACATTCAGAAGAAAATGCACAGGGGTCTTTTATATGTTCTAAAGTTTAATCTTTTTCTTGGACCCACAGTTTCAGCTTGTATTTCTGAACTTTAAATATGTATGTATGCATAATTTTCTTCATTGATTTGCATTCATGTTAATGTCATAAAGCTCATTGCACCTTTCAGTTCTCTGCTCTACTTTCTCTTCACCTCCTCATTTTTGTCTTTCAGTCCTGTTACTCTGATCAACTTCTGGCCAGTAGATTCTGCGTGAGTACTTTTTTATTTTTGCGCTACTGCTGTTGCTCCCACCTTCATGTGTGCTGTTTTAATCCACTTTTTATTTTATCCATGAGTTCATTTTTACTTTGCCCCCTACTCCAACTTTAAAATACATGTCTAGCATTAAAAGGTTAAATGTAAACATACTAGCACAAAACTGTATGAAAGGAACAGTGAACGTAGACCCTTGTCAAAGACTATTCTTATTGCTTTTCATCATGAAACTCTTGGCACTAGAGGCCAGTGGCTGTTGAACTCATAAGAAAGATGTGTACCTAGAAGTTCCTAAAGTGAAAGTACAGGCAATATTTCAAAGAACATATAATCTAACTCATTGTAATTGAAAACTCTTGTTAGATGTTTTCCATGAATGGACAGTTTAAGTACAGTAAAACTTTGGCCATCCTGTCTTGATCCTTTACATGTGTTATGTTCGATCAACAACTGAAACACAATTATTTGTTTTTCTTTTACATCACTGGAGTACAACATATCTCTTTCATACAAGAAAGACAATAAAGAAGACCAATGTATTAGTCTTACAGGAATTTAGAGTTTTGTTCAAGTCCCACAAGACGATGGTCTTCAGGTCTTTTTTGTTATATGAATGGAACTACATTCAAATGGGGAAGAAAATGAGAAAATAAAGTGATTTAAGGAAGTGTCATTCTCTTTAGTTTATCACCAATAAATTGGCTACATATATAGAAATACAAATGTCATTACCTTTGTCTCACAACATTTAAGCATGCAAGCCCATGTAGTCAAATTTGACCACTTATTAGTAACAGAGCAGAAACCTATTATTTTGATGATTATTTATAATAAACCTCGTATCTGTACAGTCAGTAGTTCTCCATGATAAATGGCAAAT